AGCGTTAGACTAAAGTGGAAAAGGTTCGTGTCTATTCATCGGAAGGATTTCAAGCCAGTGGGAAAATTTGCTGTGTGCTCCGAGCATTTCACAAGGGATTGTTTTACGCTTGCTTTTCCGATGAAAGGCATGAAAAGAAAGTTGAAGAAGGGGACGTTTCCAACTATTTGGAAAAAATCCTTTGAAACACTATCAAAGCGGAGTCGACGATCGGTGAGTGAAATTACAATGTATTTGCGCTGTGCTTATCATCATGATATTTACTTCCTCACTTACCTGTGACATGATTTTTTTCGGGCATAGTTGTTCAATATTCGTGCAATGAATGCTCTGACTATTTAGACTTCCCATATGGTTGAATGTGTTTTCATACTTTTCCGCGTTCTTCTCATAGTTGCAGTAAAACGGGCGTTGGCGAAAAAATGGGTATTTGCGCTGAATGGACGTGAAGTCAATTCCCCAATTCCCAGACCTTTCCACTCAAGCGTAAAATTTAGAGAAAGTGAAACTACATAGAAATCCGGCTCTCTATTTTTTGAGATATTAGCTTGCTGTTACTTTGAGATTTGACAGTACTCCAAAGTTCCCTCCAAGAAATCAGCAAATTTTGAGTTACACGCAAGTCTTTTAAACGACCAAAAATGGACTTAGTCTGATTTCTACATTCTATAAGTTCGGTTACTGTTTGCGGTTTTTTTTTTTTTCGTCAGTATTTCAATTCTATTCTCACTGCCTGCAAATGATGCATACATTTTAAGGCAAAGATGTGGTTACAACATGCTTCCATTTCTAGTTTTGAAAACATCGACATAAAGCTCAAATTTAAACTTGTTTCGAAGGGGAGAAATAAAGAATGGTCGTACCTATTTTCACTTTTCAGCTACTAAAGGAAATTCTGGCTGCTCAAACTACTAATGAGGATACAGAGGAAGAAGACAATCCTGAAGAGGATGTGCACTCTTTCAAAGGAAGTTCTGCACCTGAGGAGAGTGCTGACACTATGGGGGCTCCAAATCTCAACCCTGAGTAGTCTCCAGAAGTTGAGGGTGCTCTGAATGCAAGTCAGGGTTCTTTGGTTGAGGTAAATCCTGAAAGCTGCATCACTGAGACTAAGACGGGCGAGATAAGTGTTGATGCTGAGATGGCTTCAGAGGTCCTATGTACTCCTGGTGCTAAGACAGCTCTCGAGAGCCAAGGGATTCTAGGCACTGTTGAGGTTACTGATACCATACAGATCCTGGAGGCTGAGGGATTCGAAAAACTGCAGGATATAGATGAAGTTATGCAGATTGATGAATCATTAACGATTCCTGAAGTTGAACAGGTTTCTGTGGTAGGTTCATAACTCTAATTACTGTTTAGTTGCATGTTTGTATTATCTTAACAATGGAAAACTACATGTGCAGTTATTCAACAGTAATACTAAGACACAAAAATTCGAAAGTCTTCTTATTACAGCCTGTATTCATGTTGAAAGTTTGTTTTTTCTAGGATACTCCAACTGGACATGCTGGGAATTGCACAACATGCAAAACCCTGAGGAGTGAGGTGACTCAGTTAAAGGGCAAAGTCACAAGAATGTCGAATAATTTAACCTCCAATCAAGATCAGTGGGTTGAAACCTTTAAGAGCATACAAGAGCCGAGGCAGTCGCTGATGGTGAATACTGGTGCGTCAACAATAATTTAAGTTGATTAGTCGCATTAAGGCATAAATAACTGCCATTTTAATTTTTTAATCATAATTACAATATGGTGATAGAATTTTTTCATTCCATCTGTTTAAGCTATTCAAACTGATCCATGACCAATAACAAATGGGACAGAGTTAGGGCTAGAGGTTGAATCAGAAGATGAGCAGGAAATGCAGGACAATGCATACAAAGAGTTTGAGTGTGGTGAAGACCCTATATGGACCCCTGAAGAAATCAAAAATGCATATAAAAAACTAAAGGAAGATGATGACTCAGTGAAGACTCATCAGAACCCAAGGTACAAAGATGCAGAGTCTACTGCATACATATCTTTGCTCTAACGATCCTTTGGGAAGTGATTTAGGCTTAAAACTAAATCCAGTATGAGAGGATCTATTTCAGCGCAAGAATACATGAAATTCGATTTTTAATTTAATCAGATAAGAATTGAAAAAAAAAAAAAAAAAGAGAGATAGCCTGCCCATAGACTGGAAGTCCCAGTCCTAAGTGTTTGGTTTGTCCACTCTACCACATGGGTGGGCTAGATAGCTTGAGGGCTCAAAGTTGTCATGTGTGCATTCAACAGAATTATCACAAAAAGGCATTTTTCAGAATTTATGTGAGATTAAAAACCAAATCCACAATTAGCCAGGTTTACAACAAGTTGAAAAAACCGGCAACACCCTGAGAAAAACAATAAAAATGTTTATCATTTTGTTATTGTTATTTTATTATTTCAGATGCTATGATTAAATGAGTATTTCCTTTCAAATCATTTTTTCCTTGGATCTACAAGGAAAAAACATTCGAGAGGAACGGAAGGGAATTGTTTTCCTTTCCGAACTTCTTATTTTGTTTCAGTTCTGCCATTTGTGCTTCTTTCCCAAACCCAAACTTTCTGTATCACAGACAGGTACCTTATTAACCGTGGAAAGTTTCTGCAGTAACTGTGGCCAAACAAAAGTCTGGAAGTGTCAACCAGACCTGCTATTAAGTTTTGCAGTGTTCTGTGCTGGGGCATCCATCCGAAAGGTACTACTGGTATTTATGCACATGGGTATATTGGCTTATCATGAGCCAACATACTATTATCACCAAAGGCACCTTCTCATCTCCTCCATTATCTCCTTCTGGCGAAAATACCAGAAGAAGAACAAGGAACTGGTAGTGGCTGGTGCTGGTCGCCATGACAGTATGGGACATTCTGCAAAGTTTGGTATCTATACAATGTTGTGCTGTACAGTTGGGCTTATCATCCACATTGTCCTTGTGCAGGTATAATTTTGAATCAGACTGTCAAACAAAAACCCTGCTAATAACTATTCCCCCATCGCTATAGTTAGTTCGTCTCTGCCAAAATACTTCTGTACGAATAAAGAGCTGGATATGCTGAACATATTCTTCTAACAGGTGGTAACTATGCTCTAGCAGTAATTTAATACTTTAACCTCCCTATTTGCATCTGATGATTGATCTAGACAATGTAATCATATGAACCCTGAGGCCATAATTTCTAAAGCCATGAACTTAAACAGCATTATTGTTAGGTTATTCACAAGTGGACCGATTTATCTTTCCCCTTTAGGCCAATGAAGGAGGAAACAGCTCTGGCATGGAATTTTTTGCCTTTGAAAAAGCATTTATTTTCCTCTTGGGGACTGGCCTGTCGATAAAGTCATTCATCTCTGACAGACACACCTCAATTGCCAAGTGGATGAGGGAAGACTGTCCAAAAAAATGTCGAGATATGGGGAAGCCAATTGTAGCTCATTTCTTTGATATATGGCATATTGGGAAAAGTAAGGAACCTCTATTGCAGTATCTGTAAATGCTAACACTTACTACAATAGGTATAAAGATACAGCACATACCCCTTAACAAAACAATTCTCTTCCTTTAGCATTTTTAATTTCTTACATGTACTGACCATTTTAGTCATAGATATGTTTATTATACATCTGTTCATTCCTAGAGATCCAGAAGGTACTGACCAAACTCAGCAAAGAGAAAGGCTGTGAGGTAATTGGGAGATGGCGAAAAGCTTGTGTACGACATTTCTACTGGGCTGTTACCTCAACCAAAGAACATCTTGGAGAAGTAAAGCTTGCAAAGTTTTCCGCTTTTCTCTCTCGTGATAAACAAGCATAAGGAACTGCCAAACAGACTTTTTAATACATGTGCTCATCGTGACATAACCAGTCCACGGGTGTGGATGACAAAAGGTATGACAAACATTTCCTTTTTATGTCATTTTTGATAGCAAAGCATGTCGCCACATTATCAAATATTCCTGGCTACCCTTATGTATAACCAACTGATATCATATCATGAAGACACAATTTTCCTAATACTTCAGTGGATTATGTGTTTTAGTGAATGGTGTTCACTTTTCAGTTAGATCTTATACAATAATAACCAAAACAGAAAGAACAAAAGCTAGCTTTGGGAGAGAACCATGGCATGTGGATACTTTCATTAGACCAATTTCTTATTCTCTTTCAGCATCAGAAGCATATGAAAAGCTAAGTGCCGCACTCAACAAAACCAGTCTCACAAAAGCAATTAAGAAGGCATCCTCTGTGTGTCTAGATCCTTCCATCTCACTAATAACAATGCAAAAAGTCGATACGGTTCCAAGATATATGAAACATCTTACGCGAGGTATTTTGTTATTATCCAGATTATGTTACTGACATCTACGACATTCTTACCAAGACACCCAGGGCAGAGCTGAAATTGTTGGAGGAGGAACTGAAAGCAGAGGTTCCAGACACTATAAACACCATGTTGGACAGAGAAAGCAGGGAAGGCGCCTTGTCAAAATACCAGACCAGAAAAGAGAAAACAACCGTTCTTTGCCCTCCAACCTGCCCAGGTAAGCACAAGA